TCCTAGGTTACAAATGTTGGCTGTCACGAATATGAGGGTTAAGTTTCTATAACTTTTAATAAAGTTCAGATCGCTGGATCAAGTATCTCTAAAAGTGACAAATATACTGCAAGAACTATACCTATATAAATTTCGAGGTGGTGTCGCTTCAATAGAGAGTTGAAGTTTCTCTCTTAAAAATTTATGAATAGGAGAAGTACAAGGCCAGAAAAGTGTTAAATGAGATTGTGTGGAACTTGAAACACTTGATACTTGTGTGTATGATCTCACCGATATCATCACAAGGAATATTAAATTCAAACCTTTCATGCTACTTAGGATTCGATGATTACTTTGTGAGATTTATACTAAGGTTGGATTTAAATTGAAAGATATATATACTTTATGCAAAAGTGTTGTTAAACTACACACTTTGTGCTCATTCTATATTTGAATAAATGGGGGATTGTTGGATATTGTTCAAATTAACAATGAGGAGTGATTTTGAAAGTGATGAAAATGGTTAATCATGAAAAAAACAAGTAAGAATAAAGCAAGAGCAAAAAAATAGTAATGGCCGAAAAATGACCTCGGCAGCCACCCAGGCTTAAGGCCGGGTAGCTTATGTTGCAATTACAGTGGCCCCGTTGCCCTTTGAAGTTTTGAATTCTGGTGTCTTTGAAGGGTTTTATACCATTTTGGCTTGGTTTTTGTACATTTTCGTGTATAATGATTGTAATTCTATATATGAGTAGTTTTCATGATTGAAAACATATAACAAACATCAAATTCATTCATCAACATCCAAAATCAAAGCTCAAATCCAATTTTTTATATTGCTCTTCAAAGTTCATTTTCTAAGTTTTGATTGCTTGATTCATACTCGGATTAAATTTTGTTTACTCCTACAAAATATTTGACATTGAAGCCTTCAAACACTTACCCCAGTGATGACAAATATCATTTGAGGATAGCGATTCATAATTGAATTCAAACCTTACATTTGGAGATTTGTTGTTGTTGGTTTTATTTTCATTCTTCATCAACTTTGTTCAACACTAGACTTTTTTTTTTTTAATGTACGAATACATAACAAAAAATCACACTTTGATATAGGTCGAGTTTTGGCTAACCTGGATTGGTTTTGCCCATATGCTAATTGCATAATTTACGTATCAAATCACTCTCACTTAAACGACCCGATTTACCTTTCAACTCATACTTACAACTCTTGCCTTGTGATAACATCGGTTCGCCACCTTGCCTCGAAATCCTTGCGTATCATATTTGTTACGCCTCTACCTACATAGCAGCAAAGTGGTTGCCAACTATGCAAAATGCCACACAAGTATTTCTCTTCTAGAGGTGAACAACAACTTGAGCTTGTCATATCTCCTATCTTTTTTGTCCGAGGCAATGAGGCCAAATTCCATTGCGTTTTCGACACTTACTTCCTAGTGACACTACTTACAATAGGCTTGTCACCTCTCAACTCTGAGGCAGTCAAAGGAGACCTAATCATTAGCCACACCAAATCAACCTCTTAATGCCTTAATGCAAGTTGCATATAACACATTAAGTCACATGCGACTTACATGCGACTTGATTGATGTAACATCTCTATTAAGGTACTAGATAGACACTTTTCTTCCCTAGGACATTTGGTTGTAGGTCTGCAGTAGCTATAATATGACATCATTGAGCTTGAGTCATGAACCGTTGGGATGATGCTATGTATCAAACATCGTGAGAACCTCAGCTACATCTATGTACCTATAAATACTCACACATTGTGTCACTTTGAAGATAATTAACATTTGGTAATTTTAAGGCTTAATTACCTCAATAGTCACTGAACTTTACCGAAAGTTTCCACCAGGTCATTGAACTTTAAAAACTACGTGATTAATCACTGAACTTTCGAAACTGCAACCACATCCATCACTGAACTTTAAAAATCACCCCATTAATCATTGAATGTTGCAAAAGATTTCTACGGAGTCACTGAATTTTGCAAAAAGTTTCCCAAATGATCATTGATTCAGTGACTATCTGGGAAACTTTTTGCAAAATTCAGTGATGAATTGGGTGATTTTTAAAGTTCAGTAATGGATGTAGTTGCAGTTTCAAAGTTCAGTGATCTGGTGGAAACTTTCGGTAAAATTCAGTGACTATTGGAGTAATTAACCCGTTATTCTCACTATATTCTTCTATTTTTGTGTTTATTCCTCTTATAATTCAATGTTCAATATTTGACTTGAGAGTCAGAGTATGCGAAATCACGGCCTTTCACATTCTCCTCAAAGAAGCTTCGGTATACACGGGCAATTACTCATTCTTAAAACTAGTGTTCTTTAAATCAAAAAGTCAAGTGGATGTCCACGTGTGCAGAAAACTTACATGTGAAGTCAAGTGGAGGTTTGTTGACACCAACATTCCATTGAGATTCAGAGGTCAACAATATCAATAGATTTCTTACTACCAAGTGAAAGCAAATTTTGCTTGCAAGTTGCTTATAGTTGACCATTTATTTTGCAATTTACATTAAGAGCAAGTATATTCATTGTATAATTGCGTGTGCAAAAAACATTTTAATCTTTTAATCAAATTAGATTGCGGCTAAGTAGTATTTAATCTTATCACCAAGAATCGCGGCCCTAATATTACGCTAATCACACAACTCAACACGTTATGATCCATGAAGATCTCAGTAGCAATCAAATCTTGTGTGCCATTTTCTTAATACGACATTACTAACAAGACAAGAATAATAATAAAAAATAACTTGAACCTGTAACTTTCTGCCACGAAGGAGAATTAGCGAGCTCTAAATCAAGTAAGTAATCAAACAAAATCTTAGCCCCTGTTTGAGCTACGTTAAAATTTTCATTTTTATTCTTCTACTCATTTTTAACCACACATTCTTTAATAAAATAATATTTTCCATCGCATCAATAACATTTCATTATTTTTCAACCACACATTCTCCATCAACTTACTATTCCAAAATACATTCTTCTAAAATAATGTGGCTCAAACACTAATAAAAAAAATATTTATTTATCAAATTCTATCAAATTTTCTCCTATATACAAATTGTTATAACCACAATCGCTCAAAGATCGATTAAAATCGCACCCCGTGCTAGGTCATTTCTTGCCTCAATTTTCGCATTTTTAGAACATGTTCAAGATACTCTTTAAATATAAGATGATCTCTATTTTTAAATAATCAATCCTTAAAATTATGTTTAAGAGACTCTTTAAATTTAGAGGACTCTCTATAATTAAACACATTCAATGTATTTCAATTTTCAATAGAAGAAAAATAATATAATAATTTAAAGGAAAAATAGTGAAAATAAAATATAGGGAAAAACAATAAATATTTTTTTAGGGTAGTAAAATTAAGTGTTAAATATAAAAAGTCTGTTGGAGTACTTAAAAAATTTACTCTCTAAATTTATAGAAATGCTCTTATATTGCTATCATAAATTTTATTTGATACACCGTATTTTAATTGCAGTTAACCTCATCAATCTTTACTCATTGTAACAATTATTTTTTTTATTTTTTTATTGAATTCTTATCTTCAACCGTCCATTAATTAGTTTGCGTCTTTGATGAAAATTTATATCAAAATATTTTGTTTTCATGCTTTGAAAAGAGGGAGAAATATTTTTTTTTTCGTAATTTTAGTTTATTTATTCTAAAAATATGATGAAAAATAAAATTTTTTTTTACGTCATTTCAACGAACTTTTGTATAAAATTGTTATTAAATATAAAATGTGTTAACTAATAAAAAGTTTCAGGATAAGAATGACATAAAAATACTCACATGAATGTAAACGTTATAATGAACAAAGATTAAACCTTAAGTACAATTAAATTGTGAAGCAAGCAAAACAAAAAACGGTGATGTGAATATTATTATCCATCTCTTATTCTTCTACAACTGTATTTAGAATAAAGATTATTTCTTGAAAAATAATGTTATTTATCGTAATGATGATGGAATATCGGTGATGTATCAATTTGTGTGGAATAATGAGATTGTGCAATTCAATTTTTATGAGAAGGGAGAAATGTGAAGGATAATGAATTGCCACATCACCGATATTTTATCATCATGATTATAAACAACATTAATCTTTTCTAAATCCTAGTATGAAAGGAAGAGTAAAAAACGTACTAACAATGGTAAAAGGAGGGGGGGACAAGAAAGAGAAATAATTTCTAAAATTGTAGGCTAGTAAAAGAAGAATTTAGCAACATGAAAATCTACCCTTGCCGCCTCCTAGTTTGAATTCTAGCAAATAAGAAAATTCAAGATATTAATCTTAAAATCAAAAGGGAAAAGTAAAAGGCAAACGTGAGAAGAAAAGAATAATATAGGGCAAAAAAGTGAAAAAGGGCATTGATTTATTGCATGTAACCCACTTTGAATGAGAAAATTTCCAACTCTGAAATATGACACCAGCAGTGGACTCTTGAACTGGTTGGTCAAGTGAAGGCAACAACATTTGGATTTTGGAATTTCAAATTTCTTGATTTCACATGAGTGTTCTAAAAAGCGGAGTTCAAACGTAGAGCAAAAAGTATCGTTTCGCGCTTTTTTATTTTTTATTTTATTTTTATTTTTTTTCATGCCTAGGCGCTCTTTTTTATGCTTTAACCTTTTTTTTAAGCTTTTTTTTCTTTTAATTATTAAATAATTTAGATTAATTTAAAATTTTAAAATAACATTAAAATAAGAAAATGTTTTTTTTTTCCTCTTTTTAACACCTAGGCTTCGCCTAAACTCACTTAAGTCGAAGCTCAATCTCCACGCTTCTTCACGCTTTACGTTTTTTAGAACACTGTTCACTAGTATAAAATTTTCAATCTATTTTGGTGTTTACGTGTAATCGGAGCAAAGAATCGAACACAACTGTTGATTAGAGCCAAACTCTCACATAGTCGAACGATAAATTTATTTCCTTTGGTGTCTTAAAAGAATAGAATCTGAGGAGAAAAAGGAATGGTTATTACTTGGTGGTTTATAGAAACGGTTGTTGGTCCCAACATCCTTAAAAAGTTTTCAGTTAGTTGGGTGACTGTAAGAAAAAGATGCTCTAGTGCCCAAACCCTCTAGCCTCCACCTCTATTTATATCCCTATCACTGATTCTCGTTTCCCTCACTCAGCTTCACATTCTTCCTCTAGCCATTTTTTTCAAGGCCAAACTCAATGTAATTTTCTTGCCATTTTGAACTCATTTCTCTATTCTCTGGTGCTTTTTTAACAGAGACTGAAACCACTTCAGCTTCAGGGACTCTTTCTTGATTGTACTATGAAAATGCTAAACCTCCCCCCCTTTTTTTTGCAGGAAAATGGATGTTTTTGGCATTTTCTTGGTGGGTTTAATTTCAATGCTTTCATCTGTTCATGGCTATGGTGGAGGATGGATCAATGCTCATGCCACCTTCTATGGTGGAAGTGATGCCTCTGGAACAATGGGTATGTCCTTTATCGTCTTAGGGTAGTATTGGGTATACCATATATGTCTCCCTTGTTGTGATTAAGCTTTTCTTGGTAAAACTTTTGCAGGTGGAGCTTGTGGCTATGGAAATTTGTATAGCCAAGGATATGGTACAAACACTGCAGCTTTAAGCACAGCTCTGTTCAACAGTGGGTTGAGCTGTGGGTCTTGTTTTGAGATTAGGTGTGTTAATGAGAGGCAATGGTGCTTGCCTGGTTCCATTGTGGTGACAGCCACCAATTTCTGTCCACCAAATAATGCTCTTCCGAACAATGCAGGAGGGTGGTGCAACCCTCCTCTGCACCACTTTGACCTCTCCCAGCCTGTTTTTCAACACATTGCACAATACAGAGCTGGAATTGTCCCCGTTGCCTACAGAAGGTATTTTAGCATTAAATCCCAACTTAATTTTAGGTGAAGTTGTCTTATATGGTACAAGGGGTCTTGAATTCAAGTTCGTATTGCACCCACATGCTAAAGCTTGTCTCAGCATTTATTCTTGTGGTCCTAGGTTTATAAATGAATATTTACTGCTATTACCATTCCTATTGGCACTTTATTTGATGGAAAGTGTTTTGGTGCTAAATTGGTAACTGTTGTGACTTTATTGTAGGGTGCCCTGCAGAAGAAGGGGAGGCATAAGGTTCACCATTAATGGTCATTCCTACTTCAACCTAGTACTCATAACCAATGTTGGTGGCGCTGGTGATGTGCATGCAGTGTCAATAAAGGGGTCAAGAACCGGTTGGCAGTCTATGTCAAGAAATTGGGGCCAAAACTGGCAGAGCAACAGCTATCTTAACGGTCAAAGCCTCTCGTTTAAGGTCACCACCAGCGACGGTCACACCATGGTTTCTTACAATGTTGCTCCTGCAAGCTGGTCTTTTGGACAGACCTTCGCCGG